GCTCTTGGGAGGCTGAGGCAGGAGACTCGCTTGAGCCCAGGAGTTGGAGGTTGCTATGAGCGTGATGCCATGGCACTCTACCCAGGGGAATAGCTTGAGGCTCCGTCTCAAAAAAAAAAAAAGAAAGTGCAAACAACCCTCGCTATAAGGGAGCAAGTGATTTAAACACTTCTACACTGCTGGTGGAATTGCAAACTAATACAGCCCTTTTGGAGAGAAGTATGGAGGAGAATCCTCAAAGATCTCAATGAAGACCTTCCATTTGACCTTCCAATCTCATTACTAGGCATCTACCCAGAAGAACATAAATCATTTTACCACAAAAACTTTTCTTTTTTTTAGACAGAGTCTCAAGCTATCCCCCTGGGTAGAGTGCAATGGCATCACAGCTCACAGCAACTTCCAACTCCTGGGCTCAAGCGAGTCTCCTGCCTTAGCCTCCCAAGTAGCTGGGACCACAGGCGCCCACCACAATGCCTGGCTAGTTTTTGGTTGTAGCCATCATTGTTGTTCTGGCAGGCCTGGGCTGGATTTGAACCCGCCACCTTAAGTGTATGTGGCTGGTGCCTTAGCCACCTGAGCCACAGGCACCAACCCTACCACAAACACATTTGCACTAGAATGTTTATTGCCACTCAATTCATAATTACCAAGTTATGGAAGCAACCCGAGTGCCCATCAAACCCATGAATGGATCAACAAACTATATATATATCATGGAATATTATTCAGCCATTAAAAAAGATGGAGACTTTGTATCTTTTACATTTACCTGGATAGAGTTGAAATACATTCTTCTTTAGCAAAGTATCGCAAGAATGGAAAAATAGATATCCAGCATACTCCATACTAATATGAAATCAATATATAAATAATTACATGTCCTTAAGAAAAATAAAACACTATTATAGTCCAGATTGCGGGTAGAGGAAAACAGGAAAGGGGAGAGGGGAGGACGTATGGCAGGAGGGAGGGTTTGTGGTAGACCTCACCTTTTGTGCACATTGTGAGGGTGTATAACATGCCCCCTGGGTGAGAGGCTCTTCTACAAAGGGAACTTTACCCTGGAAGTGAGAACAATGTAACCTAAATATTTGTACCCTCATATTAATTTGAATAAAGTTAAAAAAAAAGTAAAAAAGAAAAAGACTAGCTTGAGCAAGATTGAGACCCTGTCTTTACTAAAAGTAGAAAAAGTAGCTGGCCATTGTGGCTGGTGTCTGTAGTCCCAGCTACTGGGAAGGCTGAGGGGAAAAAAGGAAGCAGAAAAAACATCCAACAAAATACATCAAGCATTTATGATAAAAATATTCAGCAAACTAGGAATAGGAGGAACCATCTTCAGTCTGACAAGAAACGTTTACCAAAACTGACAGCTAACATGATACTTAATGGTGACAATTTGAACTCTTTTCCTTTAACCTTGGGAACAAGGTAAAGTTGCCCACTGGTGACACCATTCAACTTTGAATAGAAGTCCTAGCGGATGCACCTAGATTTGCAAAAGAAAGTAAAACTCTTTGCAGATGATGTGATTTGTAGAAAGAAAATAATCTGTAAAAAGCACTTGGTGGAATTATTAAGCAAATGTAACAAGATTGCAGGATGCAAGATACGCTAATCATGTTTGTTATTAGCATGAAACAGTCAGAAAATAAAAACAATATTATTCAAGTAGCATTTAAAAAGCATAAAATACTGTCTGAACTGCACTTTACTTGTAACTATAGCTGTGTGATCTTACTTTTTAAAAAGCAAACTCGTATTTATAAATAGCTCTGGTGGCCATTTTCATTACAAAGTATAACATTCCCTTCTCAGCCTGAAAGATTTAGGTAAGGTGGTGTTCATTCTTCTGTTGTTTTTCTATCCTTTTTTAATGTGTGTGGTAAGTATTTGTTTTATCCATGTTTGTGCAATGTGATTATATAATAACTATCCCATCATTTTCTACTGGCTGTAGTGTATTTGATTTGTATTTTATTGAGAATTATAAATATTTTATTATGAAATGAATGTATTAAGATATATGAAATTAATGTGACAGACTTAAAGTTTTCTTTTTATATTACAGGTTAACTGGATCTTCTGGGTTTGTAACAGATGGACCTGGAAATTATAAATATAAAACGAAATGCACGTGGCTCATTGAAGGACAGTAAGTAGTGTGGCTCGCTTAAGTTTGTTTTTTTTTTCCTTTTAGGATAGAGCCCAGTGTAGCATTACTTTTTCCATAAGTGAAATTAACAATCTATAGCATAAATTACTTAAACTTTTTAGATAAATTTTCATTTAAGAAGTGAATTTGATTTTCTTATTTTTTCTTAATCTTCATTGTTAATTTTAAAAAAGTTCTCTATTTAATTAATGGTACAAAAGAATTGCATACACCAGAAATTCTGTATATTTTCCACTTTATTATTTATTTATTTATTTATTTGAGACATTGTCTCACTTTGTTGCCCTTGGTAGAGAGCCATGGTGTCATAGCTCATAGCAACTTCAAACTCCTAGGCTCACATGATCCTCTTGCCTCAGCTTCCAAGTAGCTGGGACTACAGGCACTTGCCACAACGCCTGGCTATTTTCAGGCATGGGGTCTCGCTCTTCCTGGGGCTTGTCTTGAACTTGTGAGCTCAGGCAATCCACCTGCTTCAGCCTCCCAGAGTGCTGAAGGCTTGAGCCACTGTGCCTGGCTATTTTCAACTTTAATAGTTTCAAAACTAAATATTTTTAATGGGTTGCTTAAAGCATTAGAAAATCACAATACTGTGTCATTTTTCTAAGTACCTATTTTTATGGTGGCTAGGAAAATTGGAATAACTGTTTACTGCCTAAATGACCATCCTTTGGACGAACTGTGCCTCTCCAACTATTGCCTTCTTTTTCTCCCTCCCTTCATGGCAGGCCTTTAAAGCAGTATTTCTCAAACTTTTTGGTCCCAGGACTTCTTTACACTCTTAAACTTTGAGAATTTCAAAGAACTTTTGTTTATGTGGGTTGTACCTGTCTGTGTTTACCGTATTAGAAATTAAAACCAAGTAATACTATTTATTAATAGTTATAAACCTACTGCATTAGCACAGATGATATTTTTATGAAAGAAAATCCTGTATTAAAAAATTTCAGGAAAGAAGAGTGGCATTGTTTTACATTCTTGCTTAAAATAGAAGGCCCCTGGATTACCATTCTTCTGCATTCATTTTGTTGTGGTGTGTTATTGTGGTTAAGTATGTCAGGAGAATTACTTAAAACTTGAAGTAAGTAGGAGAAGGGAGGAGATTTTAATAGTACAGTACTTAGTACATAGTCTTCTTTGGTTTTATACCAAAACTTGATAAGTAAATTGCAGTGTGGAATCCACTGATTTTCTTGTACTTTGAACGGACTGTTTTCCCATCCATGACTTTGTAACATGTTATATAGGTAATTTGGAAAATATTGGTTCACTGAATTATTCAGATCTTTCACAGGTTAATGTATTTGATTATATAAAATTTAAAAATCACATTAGTTAATATCACTTACCGGTCTCATTAGCAAGTTCTAAGTATTGGGAAGTTGTGCCTGGGTAGCAGCTATAAATTTTCTAAAACTCTACTTACTACTTGAAAATGGTTATATTTTATCTTTGGCAGCAAATAATATCAGTTGTTTTCTTTGAAGTGACAGGCTTGTTTTGGTTGTTTCCAATAAACTGTCTGCCAAATATCCAACTCTGAATAAGCACAGTTTCTCAGTTGTTCTTTCAAATAAATTTGGTACATGCTATTTGGAGAAAAAGGGTGCCTAGCTTAGCTCATAACTTAAACAATTTCAGAAGTTGTTTTCCTTGAGAAAAATGTACTTTTTTTAGGAAGCAGAAGTGCGTTATGCTTACTTTTCATTTTGTCACATAGAATATTAAAAAGATTTTTATTCATGGATCAGGATTTAATAAACAACAGTTTTTACTGCTTAATAAAGATATCCTTAAAGATAAGATAAACTGACATTTTTTCCTGCATTTCGAGAATGGGTGTTAGTGAAGAGTAACAGTGATCACTAGTGCTGTTTGCTGCTACTGCCTTGGTTTGTTCTAAGACGTCAGCAGGTTCACCCACCATCACTTTTGCACTGTTGGTAAATGCCAACAGCAATAATATCTTTGATTTGATGTTTTAATATTACTGTGAATATACTTTTGACCTCTTGGACCTCCCCCCAAAGGGTGGCAGGGCCTCTTGCATTCTGAGAACTGCTACTCTAAGGAGTTCCGCCCTTGCCCTTCCTGTCCATTCACTCCCATCTGAGGTCCTTTCCACTGTTGCTTCTGAATGTACTTCGTGCAGTTGCTCCTCCTCAGCCTAAGCAAAAACTTTTTCTCCTCCTTTTCTTTATTCCCTACATTTAGCCTGTCAGTAAATTCTGCCAGTTTTTCCTTTAGATTATTTCCCAAATCCGTCTACGGACTCCCTTTTTACCACAACCTCTATTCCTGTAAGATCCACCATCCTTTCCTTTCTGGGCTCCTGCACTATCCTTGAAATTGGCCTCCTTTTGCTTTTGCCCCTTGCCCACCTCTCATCTTTTACGGTTTTCTCTACCATATCATATTCCTTTCTTGTCTTCACAGTACTCATCACCATCTGAGTTAACTTGTTTATATATTTATTTAGTGGTCGACTTAGAGATAAATCAGTATGGAGCAGAGGAAAGGTCTATGCTGAGGCAGTGGAGTTAGGCATCAGCCGGGTACAGATGGTATTGATAATTCTTAGAGCTTTTTGAATAGACTGTTTGGGCTAAAGAGTTGAAGGGGTAAGTAGGATATGGGGCAATGGAGAAAAGTGAAGTCTTCTGCGAGTTTCACTCTGTTAAAAGGCGAAAGGGAGAGGGCAGGTCCTTGGTAGAGAAAGTTGGGATTTGAGGCCTTTTTGTTTTATTGTTGTTTTATAAAATATGTGATGCTTAAGTAGATTTAAATATGGGTAGGAAAGTTGCAGATAAGAAGGCAATGTTAAATATTTGAAAGATGTAAGGAGAGTAGGTAGGTTTATCTTTTTTGAAAAATGGGAATTTCAGAGAATTTTTCTAGGTGTGAGCATAGCAGGGAGGTGAGACTGGATGGTTTGAAATCGTCATTGACAGGTACTAGCAGTTGTGGTGAGGGAGAGAGTTAGTGGAGGACTGTGGGTAGAATCAAAATGCCATTTGTAGTTGATAAGCAGAGACCAGTGTGGGAACGTGTCTGCCCAGTGTTGTGGCTTTCTCCAGTACAGTGTAGTTTTTTGTTTTTTATGGATTCAATCTTAGCAGATAACTGGTTTCCTGTAGACCAGGGCTTTTGCCAGCTAGTGCCCTGAGAATGCAGAGGGGCAGGCAAGTTTAGAGACGTGTTAAGTGTGTTTGTGAAATGATGTAGCGTGGAATCTTAAGTTGAATAAGGAGTGCAAAAATGGAAGGGCTAATGGATTGGGTAAGAGACTGTTAATGAATGGCCTGGATGGACTGTAAGGCCCAAAAAGTCACAGATCACATCTGTTTTGTTTAAGCATTTGCATGTTTAATGGTCTCTTATACATAGTAAGTGCTGAATAAATCTTTGACAAATCAAGGAATACTGTTTAAATATTATTAATTTCTTCTCTCCCTGTAAATTCTTTTTTTTTTTTAATTTCTTTTTATATTCTCAAATGTTTTTTGCTAGTTATAGTAATTATTTTGTTAAAAGTTACTTTTTTTGTTCTTTTCAGGCCAAATAGAATAATGAGACTTCGTTTCAATCATTTTGCTACAGAATGTAGTTGGGACCATTTATATGTTTATGATGGGGACTCAATTTATGCACCACTAGTTGCTGCCTTTAGGTAAGCTCAGTCATATAAGTACTAGTTCATCATTATTTGATTTCTAAATTTAAATGTATATTCTCGATTGCATTCTTACTCTATTCACCTTTATCATCACTTAACACATTTATTTTGCGGAAAGAGTACTTGTGTGCTAGTCCAGATTGGGTTTCTGTATCTATTGGGTAAGTTTCTGGGCGTGTTAAAGAAAAGGAAAGTTGACCTTTCCTTTCAGTTTCCTGATGGGTAAAATTGGGATAATGCCATTAAGTTTACCTGTTCCTTGTGCTGGTGGTGAAGTTTACATTTTTACATTTTGTAAGTATTATATTGAATGATAGTTCTTTGAAAAATTTAAATTAGGAATCATATCCGTCTTGTTTCTGTGTTCCTTACTGTATAGGTCTTTAGGAGTTATTTATTGAATTCAAATATAATTGTATTTGTATTTATATATATGCGTGAGGGAAACTTTCTGGAAGAATATATATAAAATGAGCAGTGGTTACCTGCAGAGAATGAGGAGCATACCAGTTAACGGTTGTGAGTTGTTTGTTTGTTTGTTTTCCTTTGAGACAGGATCTTGGTATATGGCCAGGCTAAGCTACAGTGGCCTGAGCATAGCTTACTTAACCTTAACTCTTGGACTTAAATGAGCCTTTTTCCCCTCAGTCTTCTGAGTAGCTAGAACCACAGGTGTGGGCCACCATGTCTGGCTAAATTTTTTTTTGGTTGGGGGAGGGGAATCTTGCTATATTTCCCAGATTGATCTTGAATTCTTAGGCTCAAGTAGTCCTCTCACCTTGGCCTTGTGATTCCTTTTTTTCAATAAGTATATTCTACTTTACTAAACAAGAACCATTTAACACCAAATATGCATATAGGGTGCTCTGAATTCTGGATTGTTTTGGTGTTTTAGTTTTTATTAATAGCAAGTAGCTATGTTGTTTATTATGTTTTTAGTCACATAGGAATTCAAACTTGCCTCTATTGTTTTCCCTTTGTTTGATAGAAGAATTAAAATATAGTCATGAGTCACTTAATGATGGGAATACATTGTGAAAAACTCATCACTGGGCAATTTCATCATTGTTCAAACACCATAGAGTGTACATACACAATCCTAGATTTGCTTAGCCTACTTCACACCTAGGCCATATTGTATAGATTATTGCTCCTACACTGCAAACCTGTACATCATGTTACTGTACGGGATACTATAGGCAGTTGTAACAGAGCAGTAAGTATTTGTATATCTACACATAGAAGAGGCACAGTAAAACACAGAAGTGTAGTCTTAGAGAACCACCGTCATGTGCAGTCCATTGCTGACAGAAACGTCACCATATGCTGCTTGACTATATGTTTTTCCAAAATGCACATCCCCTTATGAACCATAGTTGTTAGTTTTCATCTGCAACTGACTTCTAGATTTATTGTCCTCAGACATTTTATTTCTTTGACTGTAAAAACAAATCAGTTCAACAAATATTTTTGTGTTCCTCACATGGGGCTAGTCTGGCTGATGTCCCATGTGGGTGAGGGGTGGAAACAGCACATAAGGAGCCACAGGACCCGAGAGCAAGGGACTGAGGTGCTTGTGTATTTCTCCATTCCCTTTGGCTTAGAAATCTCTCTGACCTATCTTTGAACTGAAAATGAGGGTGGTTTTCTGGATTTTTAAAGGTTCACTTACTTACATGGGCAAAGAGCAAAATGGCATTGGGGCTGGGTTCCCAGCTATACTTCCGGCACTCCAGGAGGCTAGATTGAACTTAGGAATTTGAGACTAACTTAAGCAAGAGCGAGACCCCATCTCTACTAAAAATAGAAAAGTTAGCCTGGTATTCTGGCAGGCACCTATAGTCCCAGCTCCTCAGGAGGCTAAGGCAGGAGATTCACTTGAACTCAGGAGTTCAAGGTTGCTGTTAGACTGATGGCACGGCACTCTAGCCTTCTCAAAAGAAAGAAATGGCATGGGCTAAGTGTTGGCATGAATATTTTTATGCTAGCATTTGAATCATAACTTGTATTTTAGCAAGAGGCGCCCTAAACTTTAATACAAGTATGAAAATTATCCGATTATGTCATTATCATAGTAGTACTTGCTGAGGACTTTCTTGTTACTGTGTTAGTTAATCAGAATTCACAGTGCCCCTGTAAGGTCCCAGACATTTTGAATCAGCTTGTCAGAATCTCGTGTAGGAACATGAGCCAAACAGGTTATACATAACCCTGTGATTCACTTGAACTGTGTGTTTGTTGAGCAGACATATAAATTCCACATCAACAGCAACAGCAAAACAAGCAGCAGCCTATAACTGTTCCAGTCAGCAACTTTTGAGAGAAGCCAAAATATATGTACAGATACTTAAATTTCTTTCTATTTCTTTTTTTTCCAAAGACAGAGACTTACTTTGTCACCCTTGGTAGAGTACCATGGTGTCACAGTGCGCAGCAACCTGCAGCTCTTGGGCTTAGGCGATTCTCTTGCCTCAACTCCCAAATAGCTGGGACCACAGGCACCTGCCACAATGCCTGGCTATTTTAGGAACACTTAAGTTTCTCTTGAAAAGTTGGTTAACTGACAGTGTAAATTAATGCATTGATTATATTAATATTTATGGCATGTTTGTGAATTTTTAAAAATTATATTGAGATAATATATACAAATTGAAATTTACCTGAAATACAAAACCCCTAAAGCACTGATGTACAGAACAATTTGTAAACTGCTGGCCCATAAGGGCACTGCTAAGGAGTGCTGTTGGGCCAGGAGAATTTTGGATGGAGGCATCTACAAAGATGGCAGAGATAGCTTAGCAAGGGCTGGTGACAATCAAGGAAAGAAGAATCAAATAGGATTCAGAAAATGTGGACTTTTAATCCGTGTTCTGCCTTAGTCTCTGTGTTAACTTGAATAGGTCATTTAAGGCTCTAGACCTCTAAAACAGAAAATGAAGGTAGTGCACTGTGTTAGTTCAGTCTGTGGTCTCTGGGGGTGCTGCAAACTATGAAGTTTAGTTTGATTCTGAACTGGTGGATCACATTTTTCTCTTGTATATTGAAGTTCTGAATAAAATTTGTTTAACATACACAGTTCCATTACTAGACACGTGTGAGAACCACTGGATTAATTTATCTTTAAGACTCTTCCGCCTCGGCTCGGCGCCTATAGCTCAACCGGCTAAGGCGCCAGCCACGTACACCTAAGGTGGCGGGTTCGAATCCCCAGCCCGGACCCGCCAAAACAACAGTGATGGCTGCAACCAAAAAATAGCCGGGCGTTGTGGCGGGCGCCTGTGGTCCCAGCTACTTGGGAGGCGGAGGCAGGAGACTCGCTTGAGCCCAGGAGTTGGAGGTTGCTGTGAGCTGTAATGCCACGGCACTCTACCCAGGGGGACAGCTTGAGGCTCTGTCTCAAAAAAAAAAAAAAAAAAAAAAGACTCTTCCGCCTCTATAACATTGTTATTTTGCTGTGAATTCAACAGATGCATGTGTGGAGCACCTTTGTGGAGCAGGCACTCTCCCAGAATCAGTTGGTAGGGAATGTGGAGGTGATATTGGTGATGGAGCAGGGGGAGTGATTTTCCTCCTGAGAAGGCTTCAAAAGGACATTATTCATTTTAGAGCATTTATTTATTTTTTTAAAGGGAGTCATATATGATGAGGCAGTTACTATGATCAGAGGAAGCCTTGTGAAAGCTGAGGTCAACCTGTCCAGCATCCCTTTGAGAACAGGGTCAGACTAAAGCACACTTAGAGAAGCTACTCGCAGGCCGGTACTTCTCTCCTGTTCTTAGACCCTCCTTCACTAGTCCTAGGTGTAGACCCAGCCTGGCACTATTATGTGGCCCTGACTTTAGGAATCTGCCTTACTTTCCACATGTCTCTGCACTTGTTCTTATAGTCTTATAAGGTAGGTAGGTATGTCAAACTGAGGATTGCTAAGTCAGCTTACACAGTCTAGTTGGTAAAGTTAGGTGATACCCAGGTATGTTTAGAGAGCACAAGAGCCCATATTTGTCTTTGACAATTATATTGATCAGGTATATTAAAAAAAAGTTTAGTAATTTTCTTTCTTTCTTTTTTTTGAGACAGAGTCTCACTTTGTCACCCTCGGTAGAGTGCCGTAGCATCACAGCTCATAGCAATCTCAAACTCTTGGACTCAGTGATTCTCTTGCCTCAGCCTCACAAGTAGCTGGGACTATAGCCCAGCTATTTTTTAGAGATGGAATCTTGCTCTGGCTGGTCTTGAACTCCTGAGCTCAGGCAATTCACCTGCCTCAGCCTCCCAGAGTGCTCTGATTACAGGCATGAGCCACCATGCCCGACAGTTCAGTGCTTTTCAAAATGATTACAAATAGTGGTCTGGATTTAAAACAAGATTATGAGCAACCCAAAGGTAGGCAGTTCTTGATTTGCTCAAGTTGGAACAGTTGGCTGCAGCCTAATTTGTGCCTGAATTTATTGATCTGCCTGAGGGCAACAGGGAGGGAGGTGGGAGGTGGTTCAAGGTGACAGCTGAAGAGTGCACCTGCAGTACCTCTTCCTCTCCCATCACTTCCCATCATCTTTGTATGCTGGTGAGCCTGTGTTTGTGTTCATTTACTCTAAGGAAGTTTGTTTGCCAAAAACCAGTTGTTTGTTTTCTCACTGAGAGAAACCAGCACATTCCAAAGCTGTTACAATTTTAAGTTTTTGAAGTGAAGAGAGGTGAACACCTGTGGCTCTCTGACAGCGGGGAAACTGACCCACTTTCTCTAGTATGATGTAGTTGTAGTCAGTAATGTCGTTCATTCTACACACTTAAATGTCCCCACCATGTAACCATCAGCCATCACTCCGGAGCACCTGCTAGTGTGAGGTGTTAAGTGTGTCACATGCTTTAGCAGTTTGATTCTCGTTAAGTCACTGTAATGTAAACAGGATTTCTTTCATTGTGCATTTGAGGAAATCAAGGCTCAGAGAGAGCAGTGACATGCCTAGGCATATGGAGTGACAATTGGAGCTCATGTCTTCTTGTTCCTGAAATTCATGCTGGGAGAATGAGAGTGTAGAGCTTCTTACATGTGACTGAGGTCCTCAGTTCTCTAATGTGCTAGGGTATCTTATGGGCACATTGCTTTTGATATTCCTGTTTCTAGTGGCCCTGCTCTTGCCAGTACTTAATGCCTTCTGCATTTGAAGGGATTCTGGTATATATAACTGGTGAAAGCATGATGATGGCTGAACCCTTCATTTAGGTCTCTGATTAAATGTCACTTCTTCCAGGAGGCCTTCCTCAACTGCCCTTTCTAAAGTACCCCGTTCTCTTCTTTTCCTCTGCTTGATTACATATGTACACACCTGGTGTTATACATACACACACCTGTGTGTGGGGTTGTATCTGAGTTTGTTATTTCTCTAACATGAACTCTATGAGGGCAGGGACATAGTCTTTTTCACTATGTTATGTTCGTGGTACCCAGTGCAGTGCCTCACAAGTAGTAAGTGCTTAGTAAACATCTGTTAGTGGAATACATAGCATATAGTAGCAAATATGTTAACTGTTTTATAAGCTGTGGAGCACTCTCAGAGTCTTCAGAGTCCTAGGGTTTTGTCCTCATAGTAAAAATTAAATAAAAATCCCATCCACGCCTAATCTTCATTCCCTGCTTATGTACTCATCTAGTCATTTTTATATGCACTTCCCTAAGTACATGCAAATGTACGCAAACACTGGGTCCTTTGTTTTGCAGGTTGCCTCACCCCCTAATCAGAATGCTTGAGAAGCTCCTTGCCTATATTAGTCCTGTAGGCCTGTGTAATGTATGATGGTTCATTCAGCCAGCTCCCAGTGGATGAGCATTGAGGTGGTTTTCAACCTACTGCCATCTGAATAGTGCTGCAGTTTGAGTTCTTATATATTTGTTATTGTATACATGAGCAAGTATTTCTTCTACAAAGAAGTAGAATTGCTAGGTCATAGCAAATGAGCATTTAAGATTGTCATAGGTTGGGCAGCGCCTGTGGCTCAGTGAGTAGGGCACGGCTCCATATACTGAGGGTGGTGGGTTCAACCTGGCCCCTGGCCAAACTGCAACAAAAAAAATAGCCGGGCGTTGTGGTGGGCGCCTGTAGTCCCAGCTACTTGGGAGGCTGAAGCTGGAGGTTACTGTGAGCTGTGATGTCATGGCACTCTAGCAAGGGCAACAAAGTGAGACTCTGTTAAAAAGAAAAAAAAAAGATTGTCATGGGCCCTGGTGTGTGCTCCTGGAAAGTATGGGGGCTGGGCTTACTGAGTGAAAGGAAGAGAGCAGTGGGAGATGGTATCTTCATTGGGTGGAATTGTGTGTGTGTGTGTAGCAAATTGCACAGGGCTGGAAAGGATCTAGGCTTTCATCGAACATAGTGATAGTGAATCCATAATGGGGCAAAAGTCATGAACATACAAAGAAGTGCAAATGGCAAGTAAATGTAAGAAAAAAGATTAACCATAGGAGAATAAAAGAATTCAAAACCACAGTTTAAAAAAGTCACTTTTTAAATTAGCAAAACAAAAATAGGATTATTTGTTGGCAAGGTGAGGTGGAATGGACCCTTTTATCCTGTATTGATAGGATTTCTAGTCAGCATCTCTCTACCAGAAACCAAGTTGATATTATGGATCACGAGTCTTAAAGCCATCATTTTATACCCCTTGATTCAGTAATTCTTTTCCTAATTAGGAATTTCTTTATTAGAATTTCTTTACAATAATTCTTTTCCTTATCCAGGCACCCAGCAAATGCTTATTTAGAATCTATTATATGCTGGACTCAGATTGGGGTCTTAGGGAGAACCTAGAGGGCTGTTAGTGGTATAGGAAATGCCTATAGTATATTATTTGTAAAATAGAATATAAAATGAACATGATAACAAAGCCAAGAAAATGCATCAGAATGCTAATGGTTTAGGGGTTCTAGGTGTTTATTTAGCTTCTTTATTTATATTTTTACATAAATAAATACTTTATATCCAGTATAAATATTTTATGTAGTGCAGTAGTATATATTTGGTATTTATCAACTCATAAAATTTATTGCTTTATGTGATTGTAGAGGTTTGCTCAGTTTTTCAAAGGAACACTCTGAAAAGTTAAAAAAAAATGAATAGGGCTATTGATTTCAAATCTCATTAGAAATAGAACCCAAAATAAAAGGAACCTAACAAAAGATTCAGATCTGTTTCTTGCAGAGTCCAGAACTAACAATGTCCAGAACTCACAGGGTATCACTGTGTATGGATCACAGGGATTTGCCCCCTCCCTTGATCTAGGTTGTAAAATCATAAGGATGAATTCCAGTTTTTAGTTGTGTCTACCACAGTTGGATGTGTCTTTGCTTCCCTCTGTAAGAATTGTGTTTTTGTTTCAGTGGCCTCATTGTTCCTGAGAGAGATGGCAACGAGACTGTCCCTGAGGTGGTTGCCACATCAGGTTATGCCCTGCTGCATTTTTTTAGCGATGCTGCTTATAATTTGACTGGATTTAATATTACTTACAAGTAAGATATTTGAGTCTAGTATTTGTGATTTTATTGAACTGACTATGTATTTTGTTTCAGCAATAAAAATGTTCCAGGCATTGTATTACGCTAGGCAGTTAGCATGGATTTTCTTATTAAATGTTCTAAAAACTCAGTGAGACGTGGGCACTGTATTTCTCTTCATTTTGTAATTGAGGAGACTGATGGGAGAGCATTAAGTAAATTGTCAACTAAATGGAGGTGCACAGATTCTACCTGGGTATTACTGCTGTTGAGTTTCTCCTGAAAGACAGGGACATTTTACCTGCTAATGAGTAAAAACATTGGGGGTTTTTGCCAAGTATAATTTAACAGGTATTAGTAGTTGCCACATACTCAGAAGAAGAAGGAGTCTATCTCTCAAAGTACCCTGATAGACCATTTATTACCCCTTTTTAAAATCTGAACTGTGTTGTTCCAAAGTGTTGTCAATATAGTTATCTTATGTTATATGAGACACATTATAGTTAAATTCTTAAGCTAAACTGGCCCTTCTTTGTCCGTCTGAAATGAATAGTTACTATGAAATTTTAAATATAACCAACCTGGGAAATAATCTTAAATTCTACAGATTTTCAGAGCCTATACAAAGGCATAAATACCACTAGGGTGGTAATGTATTGTTGGCAGTTAGTTTTATTCTTTTCTTGCCCAAACTTGCAAGCATGAATTTGGCAGTTTTGTAATGCTTATAATTAGTGGGCTACCAAGAAGAATAGGATGGTCATGTCACCCTGGAGAAACTAAGCCTGGACGATATTGCATACATCTCCTCCTTTTTGGTAATTTCTTTGACTTTCGAGTTATTTATTCTTGTCCTTTTATGAGAAGTCAGCAGGGTTGCTTTGTTTCATTATTTGTATCCTAGCTGTGCCGTGTTGAGTGGCCCCATTTGGGCTGAATGATATATTGCACTTGTGCTTGTGAATGAATTGAGAACATAGGTTCTTAAACATTGTTAGGAAGAAGTTCTGCTAAATTAATTGAAGTGTTGCTTTGTGTTAACTTAATTTTCCATACTGTTTTTATAGTTTTGACATGTGTCCGAATAATTGCTCAGGCCGAGGAGAATGCAAGATCAGTAATACCAGCAACACTGTTGAGTGTGAATGTTCTGAAAACTGGAGTGGTGAAGCATGTGACATTCCTTACTGTACAAATAACTGTGGTTTTCCTTATCGAGGCATCTGCAATTCAAGTGACGTCAGAGGATGCTCCTGTTTCTCAGAGTGGCAGGGTAGGAGCTTCTTTTATTTTTCATTTTCTTTCCATTTTTACAGAATATTCCCAATTTAATAAAATGTAGCTTGACTGTATCCTTAACATCTATGAAATTTATGTTAATCAACTATCAGGTAACGTTTATCCAGCTTCCAGTTTCTTTTTTTTTTTTTTTT